ATGTGACTGCAGGAGCAATGTGATTTTACAACATGTACACTCGGAAAAATGAGAAATTATATTCCATCTATGTATGATTTTGTAGATTTCTTTTGGTAATGTGGCATTTTTGATTCTGGTTATTCAAGAATGTGGGAGGGCATTTCACCTTWAACTGTCTTCTTCAATTTCTTTCTTCAGTGTTCTACAATTTTCATTGTCAGAGGTCTTTCTCCTTTTGGGGATATTATACCTAAGGGTGTTTGTTTTGTTTTTTGTTTTTTTGTTTTTTGTGTTTCTTTGTTTGTTTGTTTTGGTACCAGGTATTTAATTGAGAGGTGCTTAACCACTGAGCCATATCCCCAACCTTTTTTATATTTGTTGTAGAGACAGGGTCTCACTGAGTTGCATAGGATCTTGCTAAGTTGCCTGACGCTGGCTTTGAACTCACTATCCTCCTGCCCCATCCTCCTAAACTGCTCAGATTATATAATGTACCCACAGCTGGCTACGTAGGTATTTTTTGAGACCATTGTGAATAGAATTGAATATCTGATTTGCTTCTCAGCAGATTCATTGTTATTATGAAGAAAAGTTCTTAATTTTTATGGGCTGAACTTGGGTACCAGTTTATAAGTGTTTTGGGAGAGCTTCTTGGGAATTCAGGCCGAATCATATAATCTGCAAAAGATGATACTTTGGCTTCTTTCCTTCCTACTTGTGATTTTTTGATTCTCTTGTCTGACTTCGCTAGCTAGATTTTCAAGAACTCTATTGAATGGGAATGGTGAGAGTGGTCATAGTTTCCTTCTTCCTAATTTTAGGACAAATGTTTCAAGATTTCCTCCATTTAGCAAATGTTGCCTTTTGGGTTTGTCACAAAAACTCAATTATTTATTTAGCAAACATAGCCTTTATGATGCTCAGCCAAGTTCCTCTGTCAAGGAAAATTATATTGATGTGGTGAAATTGATTTATGGATTTGCATGTGTTGACCAAACTTGCATCCCAGGAATAAAATCAACATGTGATGTGTATAGTATGTGTGAACACAACATATCCTGTGTGTAATCTTAATGTTGAATAGCATTTACTGATATTTTATTTTTTTATTTTTTTATTATTAGTTGTTCAAAACATTATAAARCTCTGGACATATCATATTTCATACATTTGATTCAAGCAGATTTAATAAGGTTTTCTGTATCTGTTGTTCATCAGGAATATTGGTCTGTTGTTTTCTTATTTGATGTGTTTTTGTCTGGGTTGGGTATCAACATGATACTAGTTTCATAGAATGAGTTCAGGAATGATCCCCTTCTATACTTCAGTACCTAGTTTGAGGAGCACTTATCAACTATACAAGTACAAGATGTCAGATTTAGAGTGACAGGGATAGCAAAGCACCTGTTGTGGTAGTATATAACCTGCACACCTGTGCTTGACCCACAGTGTCCTTTGGATCATGGTTCGAGCACATTCGTGGCTGGATGTCCATGAGATGCAGGGAGAACGTCCTGCTGCTGAGTTATGAAGAGCTGCAGAAGGTGACATCCCTCTCATACTCAGCACCCACCAATTCCTGGCCATCCTTGATTCCTCTGATGCCCCTGGTCCTCAGTGTCTCCACTCCATATTCCCTGACAAAACATAGATTCTCAGAGGTCACTAAGAGTAGATGAGCCCTTGGTCTCCACTTCCCTGCTTCTGCATCACCCTCTCCAAACTCCAAACTCTTTTTCTTTAATTTGTTATGTAGGACAGCAGAATGAATTACAATTCACATTATACACATGGAGCACAATTTTTTGTATCTCTGGTTGTACACAAAGTAGAGTCACACCATTTATGTCTTCATACATGCACTATGGTAATGAGCTCCATGTCATTCCACCATCTTTCCTAACCCCATGTCCCTYCATTCCCTCCCTCCCCTTTGCCCATCTAGATTYTATCTAATCCTCCCATTACCCCAGCCCAACCACATTATGAAGCAGCACCTTTAAATCAGAGAAAACTTTTGGCATTTGGTTTTGACAGATTGGTCCAAGCTTTTTCTTCATGTCTTCAAATTTATTTCATTTGGCAACATCTAAAGGGCCCTTCCACACACTGAGGCAGAGTGACATGGCTTATGCTAGCATCTGTGGCTGCCAAGGTTTCTGGGTGCAGGACCTATGATGTGGACAGAAACCTAGTGATAAGAAGGGATTGGCCAGAAAACATTGATCCCAGAGTTGTGTCCACCTCTCTGTCTTCTACCCATGACTGATGCAGTGACATGAAGGGGAAATGTCACTTTGTGAATCTATTCTGAGAGGTCAGGGGCTGAAGTAACAGAAAAGGCCTGCAGATGATGCTCAACACTGGTGGGTGGGTGCAGGGTACAGCTGGGTA